CCCCCCCCCCTCCTGGTAAAGATCGGATCTAGATGTAGATCTCAATAAAACGGCAGCCTGTTATCTGCTGCTTAGACCAATTCAGTCAACCACTACTGTACAGAGAAGTAACTTGCTTGAACAGAATAAATTAATTAACACATGCTCACTTGTAGTTGGTCTGTCATATTTATGGTCTGTGTAAAAAAAAAAATGTTTTGAGGAATATCAATAAAATCTGTTTGTTTCTTCTTTTTTTCATTTAGTTTGAAAAGATTACTTTTTAAATACGAAGATACAAACTTGTTTTTCAGGCCTGGAATTGCTGTCCACCCCCCAGACTGTGGTTAAGTAATGTTATTATGCAATTCAATACGTGATAAAGCATGCAATATTCTCAGCATGAACAATTTTCATATGTGCAACACATTTACTAATAATTGCTATTTTCAGTAGCGAATGATGGGCCGATTATTTTCTAGATCAATCAATTAATTGTGTTATCTATTAAATGTCAGAAAACAGTCAAATCTTTTCAAAGGGGACGGCTTTAACTGTCAAACTAACACTCCGTATTACGTTAGCAATCATAGAACAACAGAAGAAAAGCTAACATTGTCATTAAATAAAGCTGGAACCAGAGAATGTAGCTATTCTGTCTCTCATAACACTGTTGAGGTAAGACACTCCTGTGGCTGCACACTGTCTGGAGCTCATGGGATATTTTAAAAGCTATGGTTTGACCATGGACCTCAGAATGTAAATATCATTGTCTAGATCAGGGGTAACGTTAACCTACTCTGGTACTAAAATGAACATTAAAGACTGGGCATGTTAAACCAATATGTGAGTTTCTTTATTGAGACAGTCCCAGACACCATAACCCCCAGGCATCTGTGCAACACTTTGACATTGTTCGTCACCGCCATAGAATGATTCAAATAAACATCACACAAAAAACTGCCTTTGGACAACAAGTCGTGTCTAATCAAACCCCTCAACAACACAGGTCAGGTCAGTTTAGGAGTGAAAAAGGAAATAAGCCACCAAATTAGTTGTAAAAAAAATGGGGTTATGAGCCATAATTTGCTTCGTCGAAAGCTTTCCGGGCTCTCTTCAGCTCCTCGTTCATGGTCAGCAGGTCCTTGACTCTGGCGAACTTCCTGGGGTCCTTGCGGATTAGGAAAACGATGTCCTCCACCTGGACGCGGCCCTGGCGTCCGATAGACATGGCTTTGTGGGTCATCTCCGTGACGAACTCGATCACCAGGTCCTCCAGGATATCAACAGACTCCGTGTACGGGTTCTGGTCGTCCCCGAAGCCGTACATCATGCACCGGAGCTCCTTGGAGAAGAGCCTCTTTCTCTTCCCGTGGCCGCCGACATCCATTCCGCTGGATCCGTCATCCAACTCCTCATCGTATCCAGTCTCGTCCTCCTCCTCCGCCATTCTGCTGAAATAAATAAAAACACACGGGTGGGTTGATTTTACTAGCAGTAGCTAACATGACATTAAACGTGTGTGACAGTGTTCGACGGACTACTTCATTTGGAGCCAAATGTGTTACCTCGTATCTCAGCGCAGGAACACAACAGGCTGTGGTCTTTGTTGACTTCCGCCTGTTTCCTCGACTGCGGAAGTAATTAGAAGAGAACAATAGTTTGCTGTAGAAGATACTGCCCCCTTACGGTTAATTCCCTTTAACTCTGTTATCCGCCGAGTCATTTCTGCATAACGTTACACATCACAAAGTACGTTACTCAGCCATATTAACCAACACGACTGACGGTAGGTGTATCTAACAGCACATTCTCTCTTTAGCTTTTTTCTCCGCTGCTTGCACGCGCTACAATGTTTGGAGGCACAGAAATGCCAAACTCAGTTTAAAAAGGTGACAATTTAACATAATGCGTGTGTATCGCTCACCGGCGAGCACATTGTAAATTCACTAACTAGTCTGCGTGTGTGTACACTTGATTGAACCACATCTTCACAGATTGTTGGCGCTTGGTGCGGATTGTTTTAGTGTAAAACACCATAAATACCGTAGGAAGCGGGCAATTGCAACTAAAACGGAAACGTCCAAATATATTAAATGATACTACTTCTGTGCGGGCTCAGGTGGATGCCGAATTCAAGAATGGTTCACACTGGTTCGAGCAAGGTCGTAGCTTAAAATACACGTCACTTGTAGATGAGAAATAAACAAGGCCACGACGAGTTTGGAGTTTGATCAATGGAGTTCAGTGTGTGGGTGTCACCAAAACTGACACGTAACGTTACAATGAGACACCCGGTAACGGAACGCACTGTCATCAGTTGCAGAGCGCGAGCGTACTTTCAACGTCAATAACTAAATACGTATTTATTCATTTTAGAGTAAGCCAGCGTTAATTAACGTTTCGTCAACAATGCAATATAGTTTTACATAACAGGCTAGCTAATGCTAACTAATGGTGGTAAACAGCTGACGTTAGTTCGTAAACAATTGGACCTGTCAAACTTAGCGAAGCAACCATCTGGTGAGTGACACTGATACCTTTGCTGCTGGCCTCTGAGCTCATTACCTACTGCTGTCTAATACTGTACATTAAGTCACTCATGTTTCATACTAATTTGTTGGCTAACGGTGGTTAACATCGTGCTTTTAACGGCTATAACGTTACTGATGGTGGTTGTCAAACCGGAGCTAACATGTTGCTATTCAGCTGACATTGCAGCTGGCTGGTCTGTAACTCAGCTATTCTGCTGAGTAGGTTAATTACTATACACCAATGAAACCAAACCCTAACCTCGTTTCGCTCTCTCTCCACTTCCTCCTCTCTTCTCCTGCACACATGGTGTCCCTCCCACTCTTAAAGCAGTCTGCTATGGGTGCAGATGCAGTTCGGAGATGACCTCTCTAAGGTAGCGGTCTTTTCTGGACCGCTGATCCTGGCTGGCAGCCCTGGATGGCGTGCCCTGTCCAGTTCATCTGCCGGGGGCTTCGCACTGTTGGATTAGTTCTTTTTTACTATGTCTTCTCTATAGGCATCACCTTCTATAACAAATGGCTGATGAAGGTAAGTGAAGGGGTTCTAAAAGCACTTATGCTTTCCCAGCAGTAAGACTGTTCCTCTGCACAGGGCAGGCATGGATTTCCATGGGATGATTAATGCAAACATGATACCTATGTAGTGTTTGTGTCTGGGGAGGACGTATTAAGGAGGACGTATCCCAGTGTCTCAGGGTATCTCAGGGTGCAGGACCTTGAGAGAGAACACTGAGACCATCTACCTCCGCCAGGCCATCCTCGGTGACCCTGTCCGTTTGTCTCTTTTAGGGCTTCCACTATCCCCTCTTCATGACCTTAGTTCACCTCACCATCAACTTCTGCCTGTTAGCCCTGACGCGACGGGCCATGATGTGCTGGACAGGGAAACCCCGCATCATTATGAGCTGGAAGGACTACCTCCGTAAGGTGGCTCCCACAGGTGAGATCGTACGGGAGAGTTTCACCCAACTGAAGAAAACACAAAGTCTTCAGAGAACAAACATGAGAAAAGGGAACAGATAGTCAACTCTTATCACCTTCACTCACTGACCAAGCTTTCAGTGAAGAGTACCTTGACTGAAGTCCACTTTGATAGAAACATTATATCACAGATGAGGGGATAGTTGAAGAGTCCAGACACTTTGGACTGGATGACCCATTTTCTGTTTTGTCTTTAATCTGCAAATAGCCCTTCATGTTCTCCAGTTTAAAGCCTAAATTAGTAGGTTTCACTGTTATTCAGTTAAATGTGTCATTTTGAACTATTACAAAGCATCTTTTTTCATCTTTGATCACTATCTTGTTATTCACAATCCATAGTTGCAACATAGTGATACAAGAACATAATTTATTACAAGGTCTGTTGTCTGCTAAAAGTCCTAAATTCTGTCCCCAGCCTTGGCAACAGCATTGGATATTGGACTTTCCAACTGGAGCTTCCTCTTCATCACCATTAGCTTGTAAGTTAGTCGCTCAGCCTTTATTTTAATAGAAGCTCACTTCAATATCAACTGACAAACTTAAGGTTATCAGTATTGTATTTACCCAGTTATTGGATTGTTCCATTCTTTTGTGTGGCTCTCATTTTGTATCATTCCAGGTACACCATGACCAAGTCTTCAGCAGTGCTCTTTATCCTATTTTTCTCTCTGGTTTTTAAACTAGAGGAGCCGGTGAGTGACCCAAAACTTCAGCTACATTGTGTGGAAATAATGTGTCGACAAGACAAAGCCCAAACTAAACCAATCTTTCTAGTGACGTGAAATAGTTCCGTCTTTGCACTCACATTTAACTGAGCCCAGCTCGCTCATTACCTAAAAGTGTATTAGGTCATTTAGTCTCTATAATCCGTGAGCAAACTTACATGAGAGGGATTCAAGGAGTGGTATTAAGCTCATTCAGCAATGATGACCTCAACCTTAACAGCTTGTCGCCGCACACACTGACATAGGAAACAAAAAGGGCCACAAGAAATTATAAATATATCCTGTTGCTGCCCTGATTATAATGATTACAGTACCACAGAGACAATAGGACCGTTAGGATCATTTTCTGCTGTGTGGACCTAATGGTTCTACGAGGAACCTCGTGATTTTCTTTTGTCTGTGATATCTGTGTCATTCTTATTCTAAAATATAGTTGGATAACTAAAATAAGCGCAAGTTGTTTGTTCGGTGAGGAGAGAATTAGGGCTCCTTCATCGCTAGTAGCGCACTTTTTGAACGTAAAATGTTTTATTTTTGACTTTTATGAGAAGACGCAACACACAGCTCAAATACAGGTTCCTTCTGCCGTCTGTAATGTGAGTAATGTTTAAAGGGATGCATTCATTTAACATAAAAGGGTCATTAGCAGGACTTGCAAACTTGTTTGGGATGTCTGGCTAATTGGTTAATAGAAGCTAAACTGATCACATTATTAGTGGGAAATTCAGTAACAGAAGAGAGCTAAGGAACGCCAACATGGCAGCCAAAGGACGTGTTGCATCACTGAAAAGCCTGCTCAAAATCTTTTATACAAATATAAAACGTAATGCATGTACTATAATAAAAGGTCTACATGATAGTCACAAATATGGTCACATTTAATATATCTTTAACTTTGTTATTTCTATCCATCTGTGTCTTTTCAACCTTTTTATCTTCTTTTTTTTTTTTTACGTTTCTCCTGTTACTTTCTATTCCCTGTGCTTTTTTCTGGACTTCACATCATTTTGTCATCATCCATTCTTTTCTCCTGCCGTGTCTCACCGTCTCTCTCTCTCTCCCTCTCTCTCTGTTCCGTCCCTTTTGACCAGAACCCATTCCTGATCCTAGTGGTCCTGCTGATCTCCAGTGGTTTGTTTATGTTTACATTTGAGTCGACCCAGTTCAACCTTGAGGGCTTCACCTTGGTACTGCTGGCGTCCTTCATAGGCGGGATCCGCTGGACCCTCACGCAGGTCCTCATGCAGAAAGCAGAGCTGGGTCAGTGTTCAGCCGCTGCCTTATTGAAAATGATGAATATATGTGGAGCAGTCCTGTTATGGTTGCTTTGCTTGTGGACATTTTAGCCACACAAACAGCTAAATTCAAATACGACAATCAATTCATAATAAAGTGAAAAAATTAACAAACCACTTCCTTTTGAAACATTTGAAAGTGGCAATTCTGATTAAAACTGAAAAAAATCACGACTGTGTACAGTATGACGACATTTTAGCTGTTGAGTAAACACTTTAATCCCACCACTACTCTGTTTCCAGTCACTTTGAGATATGCTTGGCTCACCTTGAATGAATGAATGAATGAATGAATGAATGAATTGATGGCTTCCTGGGAAACCTTTGAAAGATGCTCCACAGAATCCAAATCAAAAATGATGAATAGGTTGCTAAATATCGCCCCGATTGAAACAGCGTATTCAACACACAGCAAAGAGAAGACATCAATGTTTTGCCGTGACTTCTTTAAAAGTTTATAACCACATGTTCCTCCTCTTCCATCTTCTTTTTCATGCTGTGCTCCCCACCAGGCCTTCAGAACCCAATAGACGCTTTGTACCACCTGCAACCTCTCATGTTCATCGGCCTCTTTCCCCTCTTCCTGTATAACGAAGGTGAGTTTAGTCTTAATCTGTGGCTGGTGGTCTCTCATCTCTTGTCACTGCAGTAAGCTAAAACTCATGATCAAGATGTCGTAGACCCCCCTGTACGGACTAGTGGTCATTTTATCCTCATAATAACGGTCTGACCCAATACCCAAACCTACATTATATGCAAATAGTCAAGTGCCTTCCTGTGTGATGTGTTGCCAGTAATAGTCAACCGCTCCCAAGTGTTTATCAGGGCTTACTAGGACATGTTTGACCAGTAAGGCTTTCCCGTGACTCAGTCGAGCTCACTGTGCATAAGAGAATATTATTTTGAATGGCCTCTGTTGGAGAACATTTATCAATATTGCTGATAAATGTTGTTGGTGATTTGATATTTAATATTTGTCCGCTCATTAAGTCCATTAAAATGTGTGTGACGGCGATGTAAGAAGCACCCCATCATTACTGTACAAGACGCCACCTTTTCGTCCTATCGGCCATTATTAATAACATTTGCAGTCTAATAATATAATGCTTATATTCAGCGATGCCTTCTTGGGCTCTTTGTTACACCAACGAACATAAATACGTTGCTGCATGAACTTCTATTACCGCTCAATTACCTGTCGGTGTGTGTTTACTCCTCTGCCCCTTTGTAAAAAGTCAGTGTGGACAGGTCCCATTTTGTTTCATTTGGTCCGGAACAAATAAAGCGAACTACAGGTGCCAGAGCACCCTTGAAGTACTCCATGCACCACTCCTTGCTGCTTGTTTGTGCTGGCTTATAGGGATTCTGGAGCAGAATAGAGCCATGGCTGATGGTATCAGTAAGACTAGTGCTTTTCCTGCTGTGACAAGTCAAAATGTCCTCTGTGAAAAAGGACGCAGAAGCACGCAGTGCAATCAGAGGGTGCATCACCTGTGGTTTTAGTCTAATGCATGTTGGCATTTTTGTTCAGAGTGGCACACAACTACCTACTACTCTTACGTGTGGGTATTAAGACGGAGCCTTGAACATCAGATATTCTTACATTTCTTTACTCTTGCTTTCCACGCTGGATAGCCAATGTAACAAGGAGCTGCACATCATTTCTCAGCTACATTTCTTTGCGCTCCAATAATCGTAATGTGCATAATGTGATTTCGCGGCAGTTACCAGAGTGAGGCGGAGCCCGAGTAAACATCATACCCTGACTGTGTTAATGCGATTATGTTCATAGGATGACTGAACCACAAAGATATGTAGGGTAGTGTCATATTAGTCACACTACCATAGGGGAGTCTTATGAACACCTTAATCCAACGATGACTCTATATCAGACTATTTGTGACACAAACTGCGTTCCATCAGCTTGACATTGCATGCTGAAGATGCTTCTCTCAGCCGCTTGTCTTTTCCAATGTATCGTCACAAGTTTATATGTAAACCATGATTGTTTCAAGCAGTGCTAGCAGTGTCTGTCTTACTGTATATAAGCTCTTAAATTAAGTTGATCCTGGAATATGAGAGGACATAAATAAACATGTAACCAACTCATGGAACCATCATTGTAGATTTCTGCCTTGTTTCCAGGGCTGAGCCTCAGTACCTCAGAGAAGTTATTCCGGGTGACGGAGCTCCAGCCTGTCCTGTATTCGGTCGTCACACTGAGCATCGGTGGCTTGCTGGCCTTCGGTTTGGGCTTCTCAGAGTTCCTGCTCGTCTCCCGGACCTCCAGCCTCACGTTAGCCATATCAGGGATCTTTAAGGTACTTTGTCATTGTGCGTAGGATGACTTTCTTTTTGAATCAGTCGGTCAAACGAATCCAACACAGCTAGAGAACATGACACACCTTAGTTTGATAAGTGAGTTTTTGATGCTTATGGAAGGCTATACACACATTTAAGTTCGAAGTTTCAGGGTCAGCTTTAATCGAATTAGACATGCTTTGAAATGTTAGCAGCTCTGCTTTAGCTAAGGCCATTTTTTTAAATCTTTCCAACCACCTTTGTTTTCGGCTGCATGAAGAGCTCTACATCTTTGCAAAGCCTCATGTGACTTCTACTTGTTGAGACTTATCTAATGGACCCATTCTTTCATTCCGTGTATTGTCTTGTCTTCCTGTAGGAGGTGTGTACTCTGCTTTTGGCAGCAGCTCTGATGGGAGACAAAATGAGCATGCTTAATTGGCTGGGATTCACCGTGTGTCTGTGTGGCATTTCACTGCACGTAGGAATCAAGACATACTATTCCAAAAGTAAGTGTTATTGTTGTTGTTGTTGATCATAATACTGTTGTATTATGATCAACCCTAATCTTGTAAGGCCAATTCTGAGATGAAGTCGAGTGTGTGGATGAAGCATTGAGTTATTTCATTTTTCTCATTAAGCAGCTGGCTAGTTAGCTAGCTAACATTTGCTTGCTAGTTCCAGCGTGTCATCATGCTAACGTTACACTGGTTACACAAAATGAGCAGAACAGCAGGCAGGTGATGTTGTTCTGTTCATCAAACTCGGCACCTACATTATTCTGCACAGTGATGCTTGAAAGAAGAGATGCTATTGATGTCTATTTTGTGATATTTTCCATCAGATAAGGGACCGTCTTTAAGGCAGCTCAACAGTAAGAGTCCAGAGCTTGAGTTGCCATTACTGCGGCAGAACGAAGACGACAGAGGCGATTCGGCTGCAGAATACAACGACGAAGACGAGGAACAGGAAATCATTCTGCACTGAGGGTACGGGCCACTGAAGTCTAGCCCATCTTCATACTACTCCCTCCTGTACAGCTGTTCCATCAGATGGTTTGAACCGTGGCGTCAAAGCTTTGGAGCGTCTAAAGAACTGTTTGGACACACTGCCACCAGAAGAGGGAACAGTCTCCTCAGCTGTTTCTCTTTTCTTCCACCGATCATGTCTTCGGGCCAGGACTGGGCCTCGTAATGTAGCTGTACATTATCTCTGGACTTGACACAAGTTATGCTCTTTTGCCTTAAGGGAGCTTTGAAAATGTAGCTAATACATCCGAGTGTCAGCAAAGTATGATGTATGTTCGGAGAAAGAGGGCGTTAAAGGGACCTTTGACACCTTGAATTGTAGTGGGTCATTTTTCTTTGCTAGTTCCTTGTCACACGGTGGGACTATCTTCACACTTTGTTCTATATGCCTCTATACATACATATGTGTGTTTATAGCATTCTTGTTAAGCAGCACAGGCCCCTACAGAATAGGGTGTTAGGAAACTGACGGACAAATGTAGAAACTGTTTAATAAGGTGTCTGGTTTAGGATAATTTTACTAGAATTTAAAGTGTCCAGGTATCCCTTTTAGGTTACATCATTTCTTCCCTTAAATATGTAGCCTGACACCCTGTAAAACTGGATTCATAGTAGATGTGTAATATGGCTTTGCTGCTCTTCTTTATGGGCTACAATTTATCACAGAAAAATCAATGAGGTCTGTAGGGCCTCAAGTGGCAATTATTGTCATTATCAATAAATCTGCAGGTCAGTTTCTTGATTTAAATAAAAAAGCAATTGTCTAAAACAAATCCCAGAATAAAAACACAAAAAAGAGATTGCCCATCACAATTTTCTAAACCGTAAGTTCAGGTCCTCGAGTTACATGTTTTGTTCAACCAACAGTCTAAAACCCAAAGATCATCAGGTACCATCACACAAGACAAAGAAAACAGGAAAACGTTTTTTAGAAGCAAATAAATAAGAGAATGTTCGGCCTTTTTGCTTGAAAAATCACATTTAAAAGATAATTTTATTATTAAATAAATTGCTGATTAATTTTAAAGTCCAATTAATTAACGGCGGGTTTGGCGGCAGAAACGCCCTTAGAGTGTGATTTTATGGTGTGTGTCTTGGTGTTGGGGCTAGCCGGCTGCTGTTAGCACCCACAGCTGTGAAGCTAGCAGCGTGAGGAGGAATCGGGTGATTCGCAACGAGTTCAAGGCAGGCAGGTTGTTATTACAGTCCTATGACAGCCAAAGATACAGGATTTGTTTTTTTTGTCAGAGTATTTGATTCATTGATTGTTGTCTGGATGTAAAGAGAATTTTAACAATTGTAACAAAAATGTTTTGAAGAAGATTGCTAGCCCTAGCTTTAATTCAGGTAATGCACTGCAGGGTTGGAGACTATTCACAGAATCTAATTTAAATGGACTCCAGCCGTTCTGCTCATTAATTGAAAAGCTGTGATGTATAATTATCATTACTATAAATACCTTAATGTGCCTTGTTTACGTCACAGCAATCAAGAGGACTATGTTAAAGAGCTATTTTGACTATGTAGCTGAAGTGCTTGAAGCCATCTAATGAGTCACATTTGTTGACTGTTTTTCTGTAAAAATGCAGCATTGTTGCAATACATTGAGAAATAAAGTGAAGAGTTAAAAAAAGAAAAGTCATGTTTCATTTCAGAATACATCTGTGATAGTAATAAATGCCTTCGACCTAGAGGTGGTATCTATGCTGTGATTAGACAGCCATGCTTCTGCTCACTGTAAGAAAGTTACACAAATAACTTCTTTATTACAAACCCTGCACCTGGTTGACCTGCCAGCCTATTCCTGTATTTTAGCCTCGGAGCATGGTCACGTTCCAGCACAGCTGTTTGGAAATTATGGAAAAAATAAGTGTCTGAGATACTAGTGTTCTCTGCAACCTTTTCACTGATGGAGTGCATTTTGTTCACGTGACAACCTCATTACACATACTGTAGCGTAAGTTCTATGCGAGGGATCAGGTCCTGTAAATGGCACGGGACTCAGGCAACAAGCGTGGCGTGCTTCTAAACCAGTACGCTTCACACTGGCCTTGTCTGCTCTGTAGAGGCTTTTATAGCCTTCTCCGGAGAGCCACGCCCACGCCGGAGCAGCGGGAGCGCCTTGCTTCTCGGATTTCACCCGCAGGAGTTCAGATACAACCTGATGTAGCAGGGAAGCTGGCCTCACAGTTTAGCGGAACTGGTGCGTGTTGACATCCCACCTCTGGTATGCCGTGTGGAGTCTCTCTAAAGGAATAACGTGGACTCACCTAACCGCCAGGTAAGACCTCACCTGGCTCCACGGAGAAGGCGAGAAAAAGGTTGTTGTACCATTGTGTGTTTTGTCGTCCTGTGGTTCTCAGGTAAACGACTGCTGGCGTTGAAAGTTTAGTTGCCGTCTATTGTTCAAAACTGTTGTAAAATAGCCTACCAGAGTAAGGGGGCTCGGTTTATATGTTAATATTTAAAAAAAAAAGATGTGACTGTATTATATCAAAAGTTACAATTGATTCGCTTTTGTGCATTGCAGTTAACTACAAGCTAATGTAACGTTACGCGGATATGAAATGACAACAATGCATTGCGTCAATCATTAATTACTGCCTCTAGCGACTAATTGCTTAATCACATAGCAGTAGGTGACGTCACTGTCATACGTCCTTTACATGTATGTGTGTGTACTATATCTGGTCTTATTTAAGTCAGCGCAAGCCTCTTTATGTAAGTGTGACGAGGACTGCTGTTATCAACTGTAATGAATACCCACTACATCCCTGGCCAGCAGCGTTAGGACATTAATGAGCTCAAAATAAACTAAGACACAAGAAAATATTTGTTAAGTCCATTGAATGTTGCACATGTTTTACTCTATTGGTTCGTCAGTAGGCCACCTGGGTACTGGCAAGGTTTATTGGAGTTCAGGGTATGTTACATGCTGTCATTTTTTCCTGGTGAGGTCACTCGAAGGGCACTCAAGTGGCCAAAAGGTTTCAATCAACGAATGATGGCGCTGACTTGATACCACTTTAATTCACAGTATAAGATATCATAACTACATCAGTGTTTAATAATGAATACACCTTTCACCCCCAAATGCGCGGAGGAAAAAAAGACATTGCATAACAATGCCCATCTTCTCCTCTCAGTCTGACAGGCAGGGAGAAAGACACCCGCGGCACGCGACTCAAGCACAGTATAAACTCAGACTTGGCAACATTCGGGCAAGCAGGTACATGTGAAACATGAGAAAACATACAAAAAGAGCTCTGCGGTTATGTCACATACTAAACATGACGGCTGGATATCGGGAAGTCTGAAAAGCCTTTAGGCAGGATGGAAGCTTCTCTCAAACTCACGTCAGTGAGTCGAGTCACAAGGTCTAAATATTAGTAGTAAGTCTTAAATACAATCTGAAATAAAGCAAATAAATAAAGCAAAAATGTGGAATGACATATATTTAACATACAAAAACAGAATTTGATGGATAGGTCAGATTTAATCTGTGACAAACATTCAAACTTGACTTCCAGGAGAAGTTACTCCATATTGTGACATGATAGAGTTTTACTGAGCAGACAGCACGTTTCACATTCAGCAAATGTTACACACTTGTTTGTGTTTGTCCTCATCTGTCATTGCTTCTCCCTTTCCCAATTTCATACTGAGTCCCTTACTTAACCAAACCTTGGATCGTTTTTATAATCACTTGTCTGGACATCACAAGTCTGTGAACTGTAGTATGATAGCTGAGCTACCAGACCGTTACTTGTGTAGTATAACTTGCATTTTGTTGACCAATGTTCTTATCCACAAAGAACAAATATCAGAGATTTTGCCCTCGTTTCCTAAAGGCCATCTGCCTACACAACTTGAAAAAATCTTCTCTCAGCATTTAAACCTTCTTTTTTTTAAATTTCAAAAAGTTTAGAGTACATTTAGCTTTGTCTTGTTGGAGTCAGGTCTTTGAAATAGAAAATGGTCATGGCTGTGGTCATTTAACCTTTTGGTACCGCACCAAATTCAAATAATACCTAATCATGAGGTCTGTATACAGATGTAAAGTACCAGAGTGGAAAAATGGTTCTAAACAACTGTAAAGATAGTATTCAAAAACCCAAGATTGCAAATAATCTGTCTGTATGATAGAATAAGCATCAAACGTTCTAATGATGTGCTACATGTGATACAGAATTGGAGGCATTTAGTGCACATTTAGTGCAGATGTTTGAGCTCAGAGTGAGGTGTGTTGGTTTTATGGCCTCCTAAAGTGCTGCGTGTCTGTTAACGTTACAGCCTTGTGTGTGTCATTAGCTGTGTGAAGCTTAAGGTCTCTAGTGGGGACCAGCCCTGAAGCAGGTCTGAGTCAGCCATAAAACAGTTCCCATGGGAAAGAAAACTGGCATGAAACCTATTCTGTTACTAAACTGAGTAAATTGACTACTATATATACACACACACACACACACACACACACACACACACACACACACACACA